ATCATTAATTAATGATTTTAAAAAGAATCCTAATAACAATACTAATACTATAGAAAAAAACATGCATCTAGGAAGGAGTTGCAAAATCACGCCCTGCCCCAGCATGACAGGGTTACAATCCACAACCTCTTTTGTATGCTGTTCAATCCTTATTTACATAAGAAAGTAGCTCAAGCGGAGTAGACGCTCTTCCTCTTAGAATCACATTCCAAAATTTCAGCTTCCCCTCCAATTTTTTACGGAGGCAGCAGCTCAGTTTCTACACAGCATGACAGACCGGCTGAGGGTCTCCGTGTGCTCATGTCGGGTGGGACAGGACCTTCGGTTCTTGTGAAGCTGTTCACCCACACGCCCATTCGTTAAATAACAGCGGGCCACAGAGAAGAAAGGTGGCAAAGCCGGCGAGAAGCAGGGAAGACAACTCCATCGCTACGTTTAGGGGTTCACGGCCTCCCCCTGCAGCTGGAGGAGCAGTTTTAACTGCCAGTCTCGCGTGACGAAGAAGAACCCAGCCCTTCCACCCATTGAAGGTGCGCGCGAGACCCAAGCCTTCCCAAAGGCACGGCATCGTGGGCTCCTGGTGAGGCGAGACTGAGCCACCACCTCCACACAAGCCGTGCGGGGAAGGACTCTCGCTTTCGGTCCCATCGCATTCCCTTCCGCGCCTGCTCGCTAAGCTAGGTGAGTCGGGAGTACAGTACAGAACACCTCCAGCACTCTTCTGCCACCTCCCTTGCCTCTTAGCACCCCCCTGCCACCCCCTTGCCTCTTAGCACCCCGCTGCTGCCCCCTTGCCTCTTAGCGCCCCCCTACTGCCCACTTTGGAAACCACTGGTCTAGTAGTTAAAGTGCTGGCCTAGAAACCAGGATGCTGAAATTCTAGTTCCGCCTTGGCCATGAAAGCTGATTGGGTGATTGTGGACTAGTCACTTTCTCTCAGCCTAACTCATATTGTGCAAAGTCTTGAGAGAAACACAAAAGAACTCCGAAGTCTGACTACTTTGCCATTCATCCATCCTTCCACAACCCATTAATTAAAATGAATTTCTTTCTGACTTACTATCAAATATAAGAGGGCAAATATAGTCCTGTTCACATAGAGACACTTCAATAACTGTCATTATAACAAGAGAAATGTTGATAAGGGTCATTTTCATGTACTAAATACATACTTTTCAAGTAGTTCTTACCTTTCTCAGCAATTTCATGTTGTCTAGCCATGCAGATTTTAGTCTTGGAACAAAAGAATACTGGGTTTCCTTAAAGTATCTGTTCAGTAAATCTGGGCATATTTTGAAAATGTTCACCATAAGATCAGCAATCATCTCATCTTCTACAGCAGTCTTTAGACTCAGAAGAAAGCGCAGCAGAACCAAATTACCTCCTCTAACAAAATAATAGTTTGAAAGAAACATCATTTGGACAGAATATAGTAATATATAATCAACTATCAGTTATCAGAATCTACAATGCAGATGCTATCAGTGGGCAGGAGTTATGGTAAGTTAGCATTTCTCAACTATTTTGGAGGATGGCAGGATGGAGAACATTATAAAATACAGTTAACCTTTCTTTCTAGGGACGGGGTGGGGGGCAGAGAGAGGATGGTTCTGTGCGAATGGCTAGTAAGTGGGAGTGCATGCACTTGACTACTGCTCACTCAAATGGGGACACATGTGCCCCCATACTCTACTTCTGTGGCCTGGTTCCGAATGGCTCATGGCCCATTAGTGTGGGTTGGGGACCCCTGTTCTAAAACATACATGGGGGGGGAGTTGAACTTGTTCAATGAAATATTTTAGTTTTGTTTCCTTTTGGAGTCAGATTCATCCATTTCATGTATTGCATTTTAATTTTTTTGCCTAACAAGAAAAAAAATTATCCCGAGGTGTTGGGGACTTTGCTTTATTTCAGCAGGTCAGCTACATATAATAGCAGATGATCAATCATACCAAACCAGTAGGAACCCTAAGTGACTAAAATTATGTTGTCAAACGCTGTGAAAGGCATTCAACAAACCTCTACACTCACAAAATCTTATAAACTGGAATGAAAAAAGAACATATTTAGAACATTATTTTGTTAGCCTGAGATTTACTCCTTCTAAAATATCTTATTCTATTGCATAAAACCTTCAGTTATTTATGCTATCATGTGGTAATTCCAATTTATGTGCAGATTAATTAATTAAATGCTATTGGTTTGATATGCAGATTTAAGATATTGCCCACTGTAGAAGAAGTTGCCAGAAAGATGGAGGGAAGGAAAGAAAACAGATTTTTATGCTTAAAAGATGCAGATTGCTGAAGACCATATGACCAAAACCAGTAGAAGTTTTGCTTCCAGAATAGACCAAGAGATAAAAGTCTTGCTCTGTTTCCTGCTTGCCCTGTGAAATTACCACAAGATAGAATAACCAACACTCTACGATTCACAAAAGATGAGGCAACACTGAAGAAAATGCTTCAAACAATTTAGCTCTAACCTAAATAAAACTTCAAAATATAACTGGACTTTAACACCGAGCAACTGAATGCTTTACCTGCCAGACGTGCCAAGACTTGGATCATAAAAGTTAATGCCATGTTTCAGAGAACAACAAAGATTCATTAAAAATTTATGAACCAGTTCTCTCACTAAAAGCTTTCCTGGTTCTTCACACTCTTGGGAAGCCTGCATAAAATTAACAAATTGAAGTAAAACAGTCAGTTTACCACATTTGCTTATTCATTATTTTCAGAGCACAAAGTAGATGATGTCAGGTTCTGCTCTTATATGTTTATAGTGCTTCCCCAATCTGGCTGAGCAACTCTGGGTGGTGCAATTTCAACATACCTGAAGATAGCCATGCTGTGTCAGTCTGGTATAGATTCTGCCTGGTTGTATAAAGCTAGCTGCTCACATTGGAGCATTGAAACTGGATACCATTTCCTCAAAAATAGCCCAGATTACTATTCCTAATGACAAATTATTTTCACCTTACTAGGCAAACTATGGGCTTGGTATGGCCTTTCATTTTCCTCCTTGAGTGGTGGCATATAACAACATGTTTCTGTACATCTTAAAACAGTATTTAGATGTAAGAAGAACATGGAGAGAAGATTATTATACCTTGACATCCACTGTGCTGACATCAGTAATTCCATTCCAGCGATAGAGTGAAGCAATGTGGTTCAGTATTTCTGAGGTAAAAAAGTGTACCTTCTGGGTCTTATTTACATCTTTATTGAGAACCACCTACAAATAACACAACATATTAACACAATAGTTCAAAATTCTTAAGTCAGGCCATAAGTGTGCCATTATATCTATGGGAACTGTCAGAAATATCATAAACAATTTTAATGCTGGTAAGTTCTTAAAGTACAGCAAAATAAAATGGTAATCAGAGATTGTCTGAAAAACCACAATGAAGATATTTCAACAATCAAAGAACATACGGTATAAAGAACAAAAATATTTGCATACCTTAGTTTCCAAAGTTGAAAGCAGGAGGTTTATTGTGGAAATTCTATCTTCTTTTAACCCTGTCCTAATAATATCTGGAATGAAATCTAAAAAAATTTTTTTAAAGGATAACATTATGCCTGAAATACAGTAAACATTTTAATTACTGGTAAATCAATTTTGCAAAGCTTTGCCAGTTACATCAGAATACAACATAAACCGAAGTCAAAGCAGGGAGCGTGTAACACAGCAAAAAGAAAGTTAATATTGTGAACTAATTCCATCGTGCCTTACAGAAATACAGTATTTATGATTCTTGGGCAGATGCTTTCCTGGCCCTTAGCACACTCTCTGGTTAGAGGAACCCATTTTTTTAAAATTAAAGCAGTGGTGCTTGGCCCTCAACACCAAGCTTATTACTTTAAGAGCAACAGAGGCTTTCCAAATCTTTTCTATTACTACATTATATGCCGCAAGAATTGTTTTGTTTTGATGGGAAAACAAAACAAGAACATATGGAAATAGGCAATGATTGCCAAAACCTTGGTCTAGGTATCATGAAATCCATTATACATTTCCTTCCCACATCAACAAATAATTTAGGAATACTTGTGAAATACCTTTTAACTCCAGAACCTGCACAAGGATAGAATGGTCGCCAGCAATTAAAAAGGAAATGGCATATTGGATGTATGCAGTACGGATATCAGGTTTACCCTAAACAAATATTAAAAGATGTTCAGTATATATGAGAAGCCTAAAAGCCAATAGATTACCTACAATGTCTTAAAAATGAATCCTACATGAAAAACGATTGGCAGACTTAAGCAAACAGTGACCAATGTATTAACTGATAAAAGATTGGTATTTGTGTATCTATTGCACATTTCATAAAGTACAGTACCTTAACTTTCTTGTTTTGTACTTATCAGGATCTTAACATCTGTATCATCTAAAATCATGGTCTTAACAGTGAGCCCATAATAGTTTAGATAGTTAGAAGTTTCTACTATTCTGGCTGCCTATTATGCTTATTTGACTAGTATGCTTGCATAAAACTCAAATAACACAATTCCCAAGGATGCGAGAGTCACATATATTAAATCAACCTTCTCTAATTATCTGCCATTCAACTATGTTAGACTGCAATACTCATAATCTTCAATCGAGATGGCTAAAGGTTGGGGACAACCAGTTTAGAACAAAATTTGGCCTGCATACAGAAAACTAGCATATCAAAAATCTAACTAAGCTTTTTTTTCTAGATGGGATAGCTTTTCTTCAAATGTGTGATCTCTCCAGACAAGCATGGCATTTTTCAGAAATCTATTGTGCACTGTACTTTTTCTTAAAATCTGAAATCTACAGGCTGAATTTACACATGCCTATGGGTTTGCTGTGAAAATCTCATGACTTTGCTTCATTCTCTTTTTAATTTTAAGAACTTTTATATGAACTAGGGTCCCTGCATTGCAAAAAAAAAATATTTATCTCAAAATCGTAGCTGCCAACTTAAAAAAAACAACAAGGAGGCTATTTTGTACAAATGGTATATGAATGTACTAAATCATGTAGCAAATGATAAGTTCCTTTTATATGAGTTGCACATGGGTAACTCTGGTTTTTTAAAAAAGAAACAAATTGTCTCATAAAAAAAGAGCTTTTCTTTTGACCACAGCTTTATTTTGAAAATAAAATGAAAAAGCATAAGCCATCCCTTAATCCTCATGGCAGACTTTTTGCTTTCTTACCTTATAGTCTCTCTTCTTCACTAAATTAGGTAAGAATTTATTATTGAAATCAAAGTGGCTATAAACATCTCTGGCAGCATCTGGTCCCTGTGTTACCATTGCTGATAGCAAAGTTAGACACAAACGAGACAGTCTGTAAAAAGAAACAGTCAGAACAGGGAACAATATTTAAGCAACGTATACTATAGGCAAACAAACTAATGAATGAAAAATTAAAAAGTGAGGACATCTTTGAAATGAAAGTGTTTGTTTATTTTAGTTAGCTAAGGGAGCAGATGCCTAGCATCAAATAGGCAATCTAAACACACGTACTTTAACCAGACACAGAAAATTTCAAGGGAACTTAATTACAGCAAGCTGGATTTCCTGTTACTTTACATGTATAACTGTGCTGACTGCAAAAGCAATACAAAAGTATTGTCCTATAAAGAGTTCATACAATATATAACAGAATCACATTAGTCAGTTATGTGCCCAGATTAAATAGTAACATAGCACTGCTGAAGTTATTATTCATTTACTAGGTAAATGAACTTGTATATTTATCTTCTATATTTAAAATATGCCCCAAATATTTTAACAGGAAGATGGATGCATGCATGGATCAATATGCATAAAAAGAAGGTATCTTGATTATTACTAAAGCTTTCATAATAGATCAAAACAGATTTGATAAAAGTTGTTTAGGGCTGAAGTTTGAAAAAGCCTAGCACTTATGGAATAAGTGCCACAATTCAATAATCCTGTCAGATTTTTTACATTTTTATTTCATAAATATAGTGCTGCACAAATATGTGTAGGTTTGTCTATGTTATCTGTGAGCGGGAGGGGGAGGAGAGAGTGAGAGTGTGTGTGTGTGTGAGAGAGAGAGAGAGAGAGAGAGAGATTGTAAGAAAATAAGTAAAGACTTATGAATGAACACTGTACTCTAAATATTTTTCTGGTTAAAATTCATTAAATTCTGATTTCAAGACAGACTCTGCCATATGAAAATGACAAGGCAGAACACAGCAGATTTTTGAAGTAACACCATTTTCACTTCTATAAATGCTGCACCATCTGGGTTTTATAATTTCAGAAAATATAATTTGAGACTAGATGAAGGTTGGAAAGATGAAGCTATATATTTAAATTTATTCTTTAATCTAGATTTTATTAACATTTATGGAGAATAAAACAATAATCAAGGAACCACAAAGCAAAATAAAGAAGTTTATATAAAAATAAAATGTTTCTAAAATGACAGAGACGGAAGTTAAAATTGATTATTCTATTATCTAGGTTCAACACAGAATTATAATGTAGAATGTAACCACAGTTTTTCTGTAAGGTAGTTTTAAATCAGTATTAAAGAGCCCTTTTTTATTCCTGGTGACAAGAGCATAAACAAAGTACAGAGCAATGAAAATGTTATTCCAACGTGGTTCTAAACAAAGCTTTGTTTTAAACAAGGAACTTACCTATGAGTTTCAGAATACAAGGCAGCATAAATTAATTTCATATAACTGTTAATCAACTTCTTTACTATATTCATCCCCACAACACGAAAATGGGACAGATCACTTGCTGTTCTCAGCAAAATATTTTCTAGAGCTTGAAAAATTAGCAGCATCTGCAAAATTTAAAACATCCCAACATATTGTCTTTTTAAGATACAAATGGAACTGAGCATTCTAAACAAAGTGTACTTCAACAGGAAAGGAAACTTTGCAATGTTTTTGGAAAAACCCTCTGCTGCTAAATTAAATAACATCCAGGTAAGGCTAGGGATTACAACAAGAAGATCCTAATGAAAATTTCCAAAGCTTTAGTTACTAGTTACTATGATGTTTTTGTTTAAAGGACATATGGGAAACCTATGGCCTATGAAACACATCTGCCTATTTTGTTTAATCCTATCAACTCTTTAAATATCTTATTAAATAGGGACACTGGAAAATCTCCACTTGAACTGAACTTGAGGACAGACTAATGAACAGTCAATCTAATCCTCATTTTTAAAGAGAATCCTATTAGAAAGAGTATGGAAAGTATTTATCCATTCAGTGGACAGAACTTCCACAGATTCTACACTTGCACCACATCAGCTTCAGATCAAGCTATTTACTCTCCTTTAAACACTTTATGAGTGAATGTGACGAGATCAATGGCCCAGCAGAAACAAAAAAAATTGTGTCCCTGGTATAGAACATAAAAGAAAGCAATATCTTTTACAATTATGTTACAAAAAGTTGCTGACAGGTTTAGCATAGTACAAATAAATTATTGAAACTTTCCATTGATGAGACAAATGCTCATTCTTGCCAATTTCTTTGCCAAACCTCTACTACCTCATTTAGAATGCACATTTACATGCATATTTAGTTTCTACTGTCCAGTCCAGTACCAGAAGTATAACACCCCATCTCTAAACCCAAAAGTATACTGCTATTTGTAACACCTTATTGCAGGGACAGCAATATGGGGACAAGCCTAACCAATCTGGCCAATAGGAATTACAGTCCAACAAGACCTGGATGCATTGCCCATCTAGGCAATGCTGAATTAAAGTATATCCATGAGCATCCTAGCACTGTAGGAAACAGCTAGGAAATTCATTATTCATAAGAAGAAAAATACTTTTAAAACATTGTGTGAGATTTTTAGAAAGGATTGAAGAACTAAGATTCACTAAGGATTAACTCCGTAGCAAGTGTAGGAGTGCAAAGACACTTTTAAATGAGTAAAATAATTACAAATGGCATACAGCAGAATTCAGTGTTCATCTTAATAGCACAAAAACAATACCTAACAGGAGCTTGTGACAGCTCTCATCAATTGAAACACTGACCTCACTGTCAGGACGCCTTTCACCATCCAGAAGTTTAAAAATTTCTACACATTCAATAGAAACTTTTATGTATCCTTCCACTACATCATATTGTTCATTTGACGGTAGTAATTTAGCTTTGGCTATGAACGTTTCCAAACCTGGAACAAAACATATATTTGATTCTTCTTTCAAATCACAGTGGACATATTATTCTTTACTTCAATGAATTATAATTGGTATGCCTAATAGGTAAATCGGTTTTATTCAAATAGTAGTTTGCATTTGAATTATAATTGGTATGCCTAATAGGTAAATAGGTTTTATTCAAATAACAGTTTGCATTTCAGGCTCCCAATTTATTAACTGCCTCATTTTTCCATAATAGAACTGGAAAGTGAACTTCGATTTCTTTCTTTATTGTTATCAATATTTTACCAATACAGCCTTTGGGAAATAAGTTATGGAAAACAAAGACCTTCAACTGCAGAGGTTGATAAAATAAATGTAATAGTAGGAGCAAAAGCGAAAAAGTTGGCAATTTGTGTTAAAACAATGCAGTAGCATGCCATGATACCAAGGATGGCAGTTGGAAAATCTATCACAGATATACATTTACTATATCTAGTGAAGACTGTCTGCTTTCCAATAAATGTAACCTTCGCACTCCACCCACCACACGCTCCCTTTTATAATTCTTTTTATCAGTTGTAACTCTCAATTACAGCTGTCTATATGAGGAGTTCAAAATCTTTTTGCTCAGGACCGAAGGACACAGAATCAATTTTAAGCCTGTCTCTCGCTTCTGGACACTACGTTGTTGTCCGTGACACATTTATTACAGGCAACTTGATTTGGATTAAAATATTCAGCTACTGCTCGCATATTAGCAATATGCAGCTGTGGCCACCGCACAGCTCTTTGCCGCGGAGACATCCATTCGACTGGATCCACGTGGGGACCCGTGAGAGCGGCATGGCTGGCTGACCTTTCATCGCAGTGCTGGAATCGCGGATAAGGAATTTGAACTGGGCGCCGGTGAATTCCGTGGCATCGGTGCTGCGAACTCGCTTGGCCGGGAGTGGGTTCTGCCGCCCGGCCGAGGCCGAGCTTTTGCGTTTGGTGCTCATATCCTGAAGCAATCGCGGTTCGCCGCGACACCCGGCGGAGCGAAGGGAAGCCGGGCTCGCCTTCGCGGGGCTTGCCAGTCTCGGCCGGAAGTGGTCCGTTCGCTTATTCTCCCCCCCATCCGCGAAATTACAGATGAGACGGGTTCCTAGACTAAAGCGGACAATCAGTCCTAGCAGTTTCAATATACGTTCGCAAGCTGAGTTTTTTCTGCTTCGGCGCCCATTAAGTGAAACGTGTATGCTTAAGAAAAGTACTTTCAGTTCCGTTGGACTTTTAAACGAACAAATAAGAGAAATAAATGCTTGCTGCTAATTATAGGGCATCAAATATCTTGATTTAAAATAGTATTTTTCAATGGTTAGGGATCGCTAGTTGGGAGTTCTGGGACTTGGTCCACACATCAACACATCATGTTAAAGTTCAGGCAAGCTGAAAAAATGCTGATCTAAAGTGTATTCAAGTACAGACAAGTTCAGAGTTATCTATTTGTAATGCCTATGTAAAAACTTGAAAATTAATTAAGTTCCAGATATTTATCCAATTGTATTGAAGTAACTACTGTATATGGTAGTGGGGGAAGAAATCCGGTTCAGTTCCAAGCTGGGAGAAAGACACTGGAAACATGGAGGCTGATTGGAAAGATGGTTTATTGATGAAGCAGAACCACCTGGATTTATGATTCTGGTGCAGCTGACAAAATGGATTTGAGAGTTGGGGGGCTTTGTATTTGAGCTTCCTGTTCCTGTGCAAGAACATGTCCTTCAATATTATATTGGCTGTTGTCAGATTCCTATAGAGTTATGTAGGGATCATAACTGGCTCTATAGGCAAAAGAGGAAATACAAATCCTAGGGTGTTTCTCTGAGCTCCCAGGTTTGGTTGAAAGTTTGGACTTCTCTGATGTGATGCAATGAAGGGGCTTGTATTCTGAAAGGGTGTTGGCAATTCCTATTGTGTCTTAATAGCTTTGTCCTGTGTTGGATCTTGAGTGAGGGTTAGGGTTAACTTCAGCATTCTGTCTTTGTTCAGATTTTGCTGCAGGGAGTTTCAAAATATCCTGTCTTGAATAGATTTCTGCCTGCAGTATTTGCTTTGCCTATGAATAGAGCTATCTAGATACTTGTCTTCCTCTTCAATAAGCTCTTGTGCTATATCTGCTGTGGGCTATTAAGGAAAGTGGGGGTTGCTTTCTGCCCCTAAAAAACATGTTTCTCCATTTCTCTCTTTGGGAGAATATAATATTCTGCCTTCTTTTATTATTTCCCAAAATATTTCATTCTTCTAGGAGGGCAGACTTTCTACAATCATACACATTCACATATTGATAATGTTTCAGGTGATGTGCCTGCTAAGATAAAGCAATTGTCAAGCCTAATTGTCATTCTTACTGCACAGATTAATGGTTTTTAATCACATTTATTTTATAAAACAATATATAACAGATTTCTATTGGATATTATCCCAAGCTTATTTATCTCAGTAAATATGGATGTTCTTTAGAATAATTCAGTCTTCAGTTTAATGTCTCACTGATTTAAGTGGCCCTACTATTCTTTGTTTGGTACAACACAATCTAACCCATTAATTTTAAGTTAGTGGGAACCTAATTAATTGCATTCTAGTCAACTAATGATAACTTAGGAAGAGCTTTTTCTTAGATGATACTTCTACAAGAACTTTGTTACTGATCAAACACAGAAAGCAGTTAGTTACCCTTAGTGTACTGAATTGAAAATTTAAATTTGATTTTTATTTTAATAAAAAAACTGATATTCTGATTTAAAAATGCCTTGTAACATAATTTTCTGAAAAACATGGGCTCATAATAAATCATTATTCTCAATCAGTTAATGTACTGCTTAGAGAATATACAGTAGTAAAAAAAATTGGCTCCCATTTTTATGCTGCATATGTAATAAATTTGAGTAATTATGGCACATATGAACTTGTCCCCTGGTAATCCGTATTGGCTAGATCAGTGATGGTGAACCTTTTAGACACCGAGTGCCCAAACTGTGTGTGCACGTGTATGCCCAAACTGAAAGAGGAATGCACATGTGAACGTGTGCATGCGCAGCAGAGACTCAAAGACCAGCTGGCAGGTGGCAGGTGGGGCATCCCAGCACCAGCAGTGCGGCAAGAGATAAGATCTTTTTCTTCCATGAGCTTCTGTTTCATCATTTGTAGGGAAACAGAAGCTCACAAAAGAAACACCACGGAGGTCTGACCTGGGGTGATGGTGCACGTGCCAGCAGAGAGGGCTCTGGTACCACATCTGGCACACGTGCCATAAGTTGCCATCACAGGGCAGAAATTATTATTTTTTTATTCATTAAACATTAAACTTATTCAACCATTATTATTGTTGTTGTTGTTGTTATTCATACCATTATATTTATTTATATAAATGCCACTGTTGTTGTTCTTATTGCTGTTCTTATTACTGTTATTGTAAATTAGATTCTTCAAAGGCAATTAAGAATTAAATATGTCAATATTTTGTTACATTAGATCTCCAAAATCTAGAATTTTCAATCTATGAAGAACTGTGACTATATCATGCCTGGACTGTAGCAAAAATTGAGTATATACTCATGGAAGAATGTCTATATTTCTAATTTGAAATGATAGCTTAATTAAATTTGTGAACTCTCAAACTTTGAATTAGCTTTGTATCAATGGAGAAGCAAGACAGGACAATATGATATTTTAGGGTCTAGAATCAATTTGTTGTTTATAAAAATTGTATCACAACTACAGAATGAATTGGAGAAAGGCACGTATTCTTAATAGATTTAAGGGATATCTCTACATATATATAGGCATTTATCTTTAAATGTATGTGGGTGGATATATGTGAATATATAGAGATAAGTTAAATATTTGGATATCATCTTTATTTTTCAGGTAGTGCAGAGTTTTCTATTTTGATCATTTAAGTAAGTAGTTTAATATAGTATTTCCATTTTTTCTTCATTTTGTTTTATAATGGATATCTACTTGGCAATTTAATAAAAAAATATAATATAGTTTATTAGTTTTAAGCTTTCAATAACCTAAGGCAGCATGATTTCTATGGAAATCATGAAACTTAGAAAAATTTATTTAATGGAAGAAAATACCATCTAACTTTCCCTGAGTTGTCACAAAATGACAAAAGCAATTTGGTGTTCTTTTTGTCAGATCCTATTAATTAATTCATTTTATGCAGTAATTTGTCTCTTTAGCCTAGGTCTTTTTTCTGTTGCCCCTAGATAGCTTAATAAAAACATAATAAGAAATGACCCAATTAAAAAGAAGTACAACTTCAGAAAATAGTTGTACTGTTGTTTGGCTAATTGAGGTTCTCCCAATAGTACTGTGGAAGAACAGTCTAAATGTTAATAGGTTATAAGTCCTGATCATTTAATTTTTCCACAATGGAAATAATACAGAGAGAAAATCTACCTCCTGGCCCCCATTCCCTTGATCTCTGGGATGGAACTCCAGAGCTTCCTCCCACCTAAACATGTATTAGATGGCAAATTCCATCTAGAGTAATGGGCAGAGTTCTGCTGGTTAAAACCAGGTCACTTGAACCAGTCCATAGCAGAAATCACGTGTGGCCACACCCACCCACCCTCCCAGCTCTATGGCATCCCATTTAGGTCCTTTTTTAGCCAAAGTGCATGCACATGCTCACATTTGCAAACCGGTAGGGAAGGTAAGTGAATACCACCTGTGGTAATCAGGTAACGATGGCCAAGGAGTACAAATGAGTTTTAAAGAAAATAAAAAAATCATGAATTACACACCATAACTCTATTCACCACCAGGGAAATTCCTATAGTACAGATGTTGCTCCGCTAACCAGTTCACACCAGTTAACCAAAGGGTAGCTTTCAAGGAAAATTGAATTAAATCAAGAAGTATAGCTAGAATACATTGATTCTTGAAATCTTCTGCACCAGCAGTACTTCCATCTTGCTGGAATTCAGTCTTAGCCTCTTCCATCCTTTTTATTCCTTCACATCCTGTCAACACTAATTCAAGATTTCCACTGCATCTCCTGTTCAGTTTTCTGCTCTAATGGTTTCATGTAGATGTTTTTTTAAAAGTGAGCTAATTGTTTCCACTGAACTGCCCAGGATTTAACTTCTCCTCCTTCCACCTCTTCTGATTGGAACCACCTGCTCAGAAAGCAGCAAAACCACTGCAAAATAATACCTCTGGTTTCCAGCTGTTACAGGGAATCCAAAGATGGGATGGTTGACAGCATCCAATGCTGCTGAAAGATCTAATAGGACCAGGAAAGATATACCAGGGTCATTCAGGTCACGCTGAAAGTCATGCATAAAAGTGATTAATGCATCTTTTACCCCATGCCCAGGCATAAATTCAGATTGGATAGTCTGTTTCATCCTGAACCTCCTGTACTTGTTTCCCCATTTTCTCTACAGTTTCCCATAAAAAAGGAAGCATTGGCCCAATAGCAATTATTTAATGTGATTGAGTCAAGTGGTGAGTGTCCAAAAGAGGGCACATCGTTGCCTCTTTCAAGCCTGGCAGCATCACCATAGAGAATCTTATAATGAATTTTCAAGGGGTTGCCTCTGTCATTTCATGAGACAAAACTCTCCAGTAATTCTAAATGGTTATGAGTGATTTTTTTTACTATAAAATAGCTAGAGAACCATTCTTATCGAAATTTCCTCCCTCCCTCACTCCCTCTTTAATTTCTAAAGCCACCACCTCACCTAAGTAACTCAGGATGGTTATAGAAGCTGAGGGTCAAAAGAGGGGAATGGAACCAAATATCCAATCCAATCTTCTTCTGCAATAGCCTTCCTACTGTCATATCTCACTCTGCCCTTCACTACTCCAATCTTTTCGTAATCTCCCACCAGACCTCTTTAATTGCTATCCCTCCATCCCAAACACAGGCCATCTGCAATTTTCCATTCTCAACACTTTGTTAATGCAATCTTGAATGGCCACCCTGCTATCTGGTTCCTGTAGCTCTATGACAGTGATGGTGAACCTTTTCGGCA